GTCCAAGGGGCTCCACTCCTCGAGGTTTTCAATCCTTTTTATTTTTTCACCTTGTTCGGTTGATGAGTTTGAATTACAACCTGTTGAAACAATTTAATGTTAGTTCTATCTTAAATATTATATTTTAAGGTATTAAGAACCGTAACTTCCACCAATCATGTAAAAGACTATCAAATTCAATAATTAACCATTACAATTCAAAAGAATAAAAAATTAAGTAGTAATTATTGTCAAACCGTTTCACAGATACAACTTAATAAAATAATTAAACATTTCTTAGCCTTTTCACAAATGAACCATTTCCTAGCTCTAGAAAAAGAATCCTGAATGAGTTTCTTCTTCATCGCTCTCTTGATTTAGCCTCTCCATGTTCAATTATGTTTTATTGGAAACCTGTTGAAACAACTTAATGTTAGTTATATGTTCATTAGATTTTATCGCTTTCTTATTAATAATAATTACCACTGTTCACATCACGTCCCATGTATCTTTCAAACAGAAGCATTCTTGGAAATGAAAATAAGTCTAACTGCCACAAACATTACATCTGTAAGTCGTTTGCCCATTTAATCCCAAGGACGTTGTCTTAAAGCATGTCTATATTAAAAAAAAAATCGTTAATACGTAATGTACAGAATAACAAACTAAATATTAAATTTTCCTAATACAAATTTAGAATTTTAAATGCACAATAACATTTTTAATGGATATTTTACGTATTTTGAGTATAAAACGAAAACAATTCTTCAGGACGTGGTCACATCGATAAGAATCTACGATCATCGCCTAAACATGTTCTTAAAATTTAAAATTTCTAACAAAACCCTAATTATTCGACCTCAAATAAATAAGGTATCTATAAAAATTCACAGTTGACTGGACAGAAACAATGCCAAGATGGACTTCATATTGCAGCACGTAACCAAAATACGACGGGTCGTTCACATAAATAAAAATTTAAGCAACGGCAATCGAACACCATCAATCATTAAATAGAAACATATTCCACACAATCAAATTAAAATCAAATAAGGATTAAGACTAAATACCTTGAAACGTCGTTCCCATTTAATAACAGCAAAAATGGCGACTTGAGGTTTCCTCGAGAAACGAAGACGAGATAATGACTTGATGATTACCATAGAATAGATGATAAACAAGATGGAAGATAAATGAAAATTTCTTCTATACCTATGATGGAGAGATAACAAATTTTATAGGTGCGTTCAATTATACTAACTCAGTTTTAGTCGTATATAGAAGCTGATTTACTCAAAAAGAACTACGTCACCACAGCATATTTTAACTACTTATGTCAATTTTTAAGAATTAATGCAATATTTCCAAGTAAATTAATTAAAAATAATATGTCATTGCTTGCTTAACATATGAATGGTGTTTTTATGGATGTATTTAAAGCCGACTTAAACACATAATAATAATGATAAAAATTAATAATGAAGGTATTGCCACCGTTATTTAGCAATAACGTTCATCGAAAAAAAACAATCGCGGAACCTCTCCATTTGGACTAAGTGGTGATAGATACTATTGCAACATTAAATAAAAATGCCGCGTAATATTTGAATAAAAATATTTAAAATACTATACTCAAATACTCTTAGAGTATTTGTAATTGTGTCTGAAACTTTTTTCAATGAAAGCATTTATTATTTGTACGTAAATACAAAATTTTCTTTATGTCGTTTGGTTTTACAAATACTTTTTCAAATACTCTAAG